ATAAATCAAATAGTGCTCTTTCTTAGCCCAAGTTCTTTAAGTCTTCAGGAAGAGAGAAGCCAAACTCCGAAGAATAGCCTTCAAGTCTGCACTTGTTTTCCCCTGACGCCTGGTCTTCTTTGCCCTCTCCTCACCTCTTGCTCAACTTATTCCAACCACACAGGCTTTCCTTCTTTTTCCTTTCATGTGGTGAGCATGTTCCCATCCAAGGGCCTACCCTTAACTTGCTAGGGTGGTTCTTATTACAAATGTCCACCAAGGTAGCAACATCAAGTTCTGGCTCAAATGTCACTCTCATAATGCTGTTTACAGAATGATCTGTTAATTGTTCACTACTATCAGTTTTCCTTAGTCAACTTTACTTTTTTCTAAATTCTTACTTTCTAACATTTGAGAAAATTTGCTTATGGTTTATACTCCTCACTAGACTGTAACTCTAGATAAGGACCATTGTTTTGTTCACTGATAATAGTGTGAGTGTGTTGCTGAGGAACCACTATTAAACATCAGCTAGAACAAACAACACCCTCAGGAGAAGATACTGCAACCAAAAAGTAAGAATAGGTCTGCTAAGAACAGAAAAACTCCAGAAACAGAAACAAAATACCCAATAGGAAGATTTCAAGGTAAAACTGGCACACATGGAGAGTGTCTGTGAGATGCCCAGCCCTAAGTGACACATCTACAGAGGAACCTAAGGCTCATGGAATATAGGGGAACGGGGAATACAGAGAATAGTAATACATCCCTCAACTCTCACCAACAAAGCATTCCTCATGCAATAGAGGGAGATTAACATAGAAGGCCACAACTGGCCAAAGTGTAGAGAATGTAGAGAATAAGAAACCACAGAGTGTGTGTCCCTAGATAGGACTCCTATATTAAACCTTATCCACCCAGGGCTCAGGAACCATTGCAGAAGAGGGGGCAGAAAGGCTTAAGAGCTAGGGGAGGATGTACATGATAAGCAAACAGTCTTCTGGACTTCTGGGAACACGCTCATATGAACTTACAGCAATGGTATCAGCATGCACAAGACACACGCAAACTCAATCAGACAAAAACCCAGTGTAGAACTCGGGAAATGGGTAGGAGGCCTCAGCCTTAGCTGAGGAACTATTGGCAGCTGATCATTGATGGGTGAGGGAGAGTTGGTCTTTCAGGGAGTGACAACAGATAGGCTGAACAGGCTCCAATGTTTGATAGGCTTTAACATATGTCACAAAATGCATGAAATCTTGTGGGGGGGCTATGGAATGGGTGCAGAGAGGGGAGGGGTTCTAAATATGATTAAGATGTACTGTATGAGAGCCACAAAAATTCAATAAAAATATATAGCAAAAAACAAGACATGGGTATTTTAATACTGTTTGGATACAAACCAACCAGAATATTTGCATGCAAATGATGATGTCTGCTGTCATTAAAATGTGATCACATTATAAAAAACCTGAAAGCACTCAGAAAAAAAAAAAGCAAAAACAAAGAGTATATCCTAGTTATCTTTAACTGTCAACTTGGCACAGCCTCCAGTCACTTTGGACTCTCAACTGAGGGACTTCCCAGATCATATTGGCCTGTGAGCTTGTCTGTGGAGGACTGTCTTGATTAAGTGATGTAGGAGGGCCCAGTTCACTGTGGGCAGCACCATTCCCTAGACTGTATAGGAAAACTAGCTCAGCATGAGCCTGTTACTCAGGCAGAAAGCAGCAATTCCTCGTGGTCTCTGCTTCAAGCTCCTGCTTGAATTCCTCCTTCATTCCTTCCTTCTCTTTAAATATTTTATTATTTTTATTTTATGTGTATGAGTGCATTGCCTGCATGTATGTGAGTGCACTCATGTCATGCAATGCTGCGGAGGTCAGAAGAGGGCTTTGGATTCCCCTGGAAATGGAGTTACGGATGGTTCGTAGCCACCATGTAGGTGCTGGGAATCGAACCTGGGTCCTCTGAAAGAGCACTGACTACTCTTAACTGCTGAGCCATTTCTCCAGCCTCCTTCCTTCCTTTTCTACCTTCTCTCTTCCTCCTTCCCTCCTTTTCTTTTTTTCTTTTGAGACAGGGAGCTGTAGCCCTAGTTAGCCTAGAATTAGCCATGTAGATCAGGCTGGCCTCGACCTCACAGAAATCCAGCTGCCTCTGCCTCCCAAGTGCTGGGATTAAAGGCATGCGCCACCACACCCCGGCTCAATATTGGATCATATAACCTGAAATAACCCCATTCTTCCCCTAAGTTTCTTTTGATGACGGTGTTTGTCGCAGTAACAGAGTGAGGGTTTGAAATACAGAGGAAATCAGGGGCCACAGTCAGAGGTGGCTTAACAGCTAAATGACACAATCAAGACAAAGAGTAAAGGAAACTAGAAGGGAAGAAACATGAAAGAAACCCCAAAACTTTTCTAGAATCGAAAGGCATGTGTATACATAACTGGAGAGGCCCATCAACAACCTAGGACTAGGTTCATTTATCAAAACAGGCAGGAGAAATAAGTCTGTAATTTGCAAAGGGCTTATGTGAAACCTAAGCTCATGCACAAAGCCTAAGAACCCCACGGCTATGAAATTCCCAGGGATCATACCTGAACACCTGAAGGCGGTGAAACAACGCATTCAAATTCCGGTGGGAAATGGATTTCCAACTAAGAATTCTACAAACGAACTATGATTTATGTCTCAGGGCAAAGGAAAGGCATCTATCCAGGCACACAAGACTTCAAAACACTTATCTTGCCTGGTATGGTGGCACACGGCTTTAGTCCCCGCAGTTGGGAGGCAGAGGCAGGCAGATCTCTGTGAGTTCAAGGCCAGCCTGGTCTACTTAGTGAGTTCCAGGCCAGCTGGGGCGACAGAAAGACCCTGTCTCAAAAAACAAAAACAAAACAAAACCCCCCAAAAAATAAAATACCTTGATGAATGCTGTAAGAACTCTGCATTTTGATAGAAAACTCTGTTTAAAACGTTGATTTAGATTTACTTGCTAGCTTGCCTGTTCTGCCTGATTGTATCTACCACACATGGATGATTAACCTAGTTGAAATGTTAAGAATTGAAGTGCTGTAAACCTCCTTCCTGGACCCTGGACCCCTGACTCAGTTGATTTACAATGTGTCCTGTAGGCCTGTTTGCACATACCAGATAACCGATAAGGAACAAAAGAGGGAGGTTGCGCCAGGCTTACACCAGATCTACCCTTCCTGGAAAAGATGTTTAACCGAAACTATAGCTTTTAGAAGATGATTGATTAAAGTGTCTGCTGAGGAATGCTTTTTGTGTAATGACTATGTGGGCCTATATAATCTGTACCTGAAACTGAAGGGGGGTCGATAGCCCCAGCTAGCTGGAAAAGTAAAGACTCTGCTTGATTTTTACATCTCCAATCCCGTGTGTTTGTTACCTGGAGGGGACCCATCGAGTCACGGACCCTAACACAACCCACTTCTCTTCTGCAGGCCACCTGCTTTCTTCCAGTGCCCCAGAGGGCCTCCTGAGGCACCAAGGAAGGGGCCTGTCTCGCGTGTCCAGTGAAGGTATGCAGGTCACTCTCTTGTTTGGGTAACACACCTAATTCCCAGCAGCTGCCCATAAAGTACTTGACAGTTTTGCTCAAGCATCTGCTAAGAAATGGCTTGAAAAGCCGATTTTGTCAGTTCCAGGAACATTTATGACTGTGGCTGAATGTATTACCATGCTGCTTCATGCAGCATTCTTTAAAGAGTGAGCTCAGATCTTATCAACATGTGACTACCTATGTATCTGAGTGTCCATCTTAGATCTTGTAAGTGGGGAAGGAGGGAGGGAGGTTGCATAGAATCGGGAAGATCTTGCCAGGCATAGTGGCTTGCACCTTTAATCCCAGCTCTTGAGAGGCAGAGGCAGGTGGATCTCTGAGATTGAGGCCACCCCTGTCCACACTGTGATTCCAGGTAGGCTGGGACTAGGGAGACCCTGTCCAAAACAAAACAAAACAAAACAAAAACCCCAAAACAGCAATAACCACCAAACAGAATCAGGGAGACCTGGGGAACTAACAAAGGCCAGAGGAACTGAGAACTCAGCCTCTGTGAACTCTTAGATTTTGGAAATTGTGGCTTGGGACGTCCTTGCTTCTGTGGACCCTTTCAAGGACCTGGAGACAGTAAGGAACACACACACACACACACACACACACACACACACACACACACACACTCACACACATTCAAATATGCACACAGCTATGTGCATTTGAATTTAGCTAATGAAGATGTGAAACAGCCTTATTAAGTTAAAAGTGTTTCCAATTATAACAAATGGTTGTAGGGTTCCTTCCTACCAAGAAGGTAGGAGATACGGTGGGGATGATAGAAGACCCATGTGGTTCTTGTTTTTTTTCCATTTTCTAGTCATATGCTTGTGACCAAGTCACAGAACCTTCTGTGATCTTGCTGGTGTGCCTTCTGTCTTGACATGTAGAGGGCATTGAAGTCTATTTAGGCTAATATATTTAATATATTTAGAAAAAAGGTCCGAACCTTGACTGCCTCATCTACAAGCTATGAGAACCTGAAAAGGCCATCACTCCTCATTTCTAAGAAGATGACAACAGTACTACATACCTCCTCAAATTTTCGTGAAGATCAAAGGCCTACCACACAGTACAGCTCAACACACATGGTTCCTATCACCTTCATCCACGTTTCAGAAGGACTTTGGCACAGCAAAGCACAGGAATAACATCTAGAACTGGGGCATGACTTCTACTGCATTTCCATGTGACAAATCAAAATTTCAGAATTGTAGGTAGGGTGTGGTGGTGCACACCTTTAATCCCAGCACTCAGGAGGCAGAGGCAGGTGGATCTCTGTGAGTTCAAGGCCAGCCTGGTCTACCTAGTGAGGTTCAGGCCAGCTGGGGCTACAGGGAGACCTTGTCTCAAAAAGAGAAAACAAGAAATAAAAAACAAATCAGAATTGTTCCCAGTGCTCCTAGACCATGACACTCACATAGAGCTGAGAAAGGACTTCATAAGTCACCACAGAACTGTCTTTTATTAACAAAGCCAAAGAATATCTCACACCTTGTGTAGACGTTAAGTTTTTCCTCCAGATTTCAAAATGGTGTTTTGCGTGTACATATTTTAAAAGTTTTAAAACATATTTAGGAGAATACAGTTATGAACACAAACAAACTTTAGAAATAAAAGTGAGATGTTCTTAAACTCAGCTTCAAACATGTATAACTACTATGACCGTAGATGAGCCCTCAGTCCTGGGCAGCGCGTGGCATCTCTCCTCTGCCTTGAGGGATGTGGGTGGCAGCTTTTCTACAGCAGCCCAGGTAGCAGAAGTAAGGACAGGATCAATGGAGAATCACAGAGCTGCATGTATGTTAATACCTAGTGGGTAAGTAGGAAGGTGTCAAGCCTCCTGGCTTTAAAAAGAAATCTATAAATAATTGTCTCCATTTAGTCTATGGGTATTTATCATTCCCTCAGAGTGCTGGTAAGAAAGACACTACATTTGTCTAACATGCAGGAATGAACAGATGGGGTGTGGGGTGGGGGGGAGGAGACAGGGGGAGGTCACCACCGCTGCTGCTGCTCTGAAGGCCTTTGGCCAAAACCAGGGCTCCACAAACTGCCGCCTCTGTGTAGATAAGGGCTTGCTAGACAGCCCCAGGGCCTTCTGCCAAGAAATTAAACCAGCAGAATCTCAAAGACAAGCTCGGTAATGTATTATTTTTGATAAAGTGGGAAGGGAGGATGGGAAAAGTGTTGTTTGGATGAGACTACATAGCACATGAGGTCTTCTGCCAAACTGGCCCTCAGTCTGTTTATGATGGTTTATGTTGCCTTTAGTAACGGGGTACCTGATGCCCAGAGAAGCCCATCATCAAGCTCAGGCAGTCAGGTAAAGCAGTCTTGAGGATTTATAAACAGAGAAGTCATCAACATAAGGTAAAGAGAGTGATCAGGACTTACAATGAAGAGTACCTGCAGGTGAAGGGCCTCAGGAGGCAAATGGAGATCGGGTGTTCAGGGCGCCAGACCCACAAGCAAGGTTCAACACTCTTAAAAACTTACATGCATGAAGATGGCTCTTTTAAATTGTCTCAATCTTTCTACTTCATAAAGAAGTGGAAAATGAGGGCTGATATTTAGAGAGTCCTCTGAAGTGAGGTCTAGACATGATACAGTCCTGCCTTATCTTTTGGGTCGCACATTACCTTGTAGGAAGGGAAGTGCTTATGGAATCTAGACTCCTTATACCATCAAAACAACAAACCCTGAAACTTATGTGACAGGATCACTGTGGGATGCTAATCAAGATTAATGCCCCTACAAATAGTTAACATCACCCAGATGATAACTGTCTTCGGGTTAGAATATTTTGTTCCCTATATGTATAAATGCAGCCTAGAATTTTATTTTTATCACCCACAATTGGATGAAAATACAGATGTATTCACTTCAAATTTAGACTTCAGTTTACTAAAATTCTGAAATACATTTTTTGAAGGGATAAGGATGATTCCATCTGGTATTATATCTACTCTACTTTTTTGTGGTAATAGTTCGTTATATTGGTAAAATCAGGGTGGAGTCTGTTTTAATAATCTACATCTGGGTGAATGTCCTAGAATGGTTAACACAGTCATTAACACCTATATGTAGCCACTAAAGATTATTCTTGTCATCATGAACAGTGGCTGCCCTGGATTGCAAGGAGCCCTCTGAATTTAGTGCCTGAAAACTCTGCGGAGAAAGGGGAGCCTCAGTGGAGCTACAGTGAGCCCCGGGGAATCTTAAAAACACTGGTGAACAGAAGACACAAAGGCAGTGCCCCCTGCACCTTCCCCTAGAGCTGTAGCAAATGCTGGCTGTCCAAGGCCCCCTCCTGCTTTCTGAACATGGAAATGTCACACCCTATTCCCATAGGCTATCCAGACCCTATCTGATGTTCTAGAGCGAAATCACACAGTTGTTTCTGTCAATACACATGACACTCCATTTTAGATGTTTATATACAAAAGGTAGGGCTGTCACCAGACACACATGCTCAGCTCAGAGTTCATGGGACTTTTCTATCTAGAGCACTTTACACCTACAGACAAGCACCAAGAAGCATGCACACTGCAGGGAGTTCACACTTCACACCACTGTGGGGAGCACGGGACACAGGGTGCTGATGGGTGGTTTCTATCACTCATGCTGTAACTTGTGGATTTTTGCAACAAAAGGGGCCTGTGAAGGTGTTTGCATTTTAATTTTTTCCCTCTTTCAGGATTCACAGTTGGTTCTCTGTCAAGCACTAAACAATCAGGTGGCTTTTGGTCCAACGAGTATTTTAGTTGTCTTTTTGCACCTTTTTAATCCCTCTGCAAAGAGCCAAGTTCAAATGCTGGAAATCGTGATGTCTCTGGTACCAGGATGTCGGACAGAAAATGAACAGCACCAGCCATGCCTGCAAAGCAAAAGGGGAATCTTTTAGGAACTATACAGATTAGTGAGTGTGCTGTATAGCTTTAGTGTCAACTTGACATACCTGGGTTGAGGGAGCCTCAACTGGGGAATTTCCTCCATAGAACTGGCCTGTGGCCATGTCTGTGGGGCATCATCTTGACTATAGTGTGATGTGCGAGCCCACTGTGCATGATGCCACCCCTGGGCAAGTGGGCCTGTGTTGCATAAGAAAGCAGGCTGAACAGGGGTCAAGGAGCAAGCCAGTAGGCAGAGTTCCTCCATGGCCTATGTTCCAGCTCTCGCCTCCAGGTTCCTGCCCTGAGTTCCTACCTTGGACTCCCTGATGAACTGTGACCCGGGAGATGTAAGATAAAATAAACCCTTTCCTCCCCAAGTCAGTATTGGTCAGAGTATTTTGTCACAGCAATGGAGAAACAAACTAAGACAGTGAGTAAAAGATAACATTTAATCCTTTCCTCCATTAGGGGAAATGCCAACCTAATTAAAAATGATATCAGTAGCTCAGCTCAGGGAGCTCCCTCACCCCAGACTCTGTGCCCCTGGATCACAGCTTTCAGGTCATGCAGTTAGGTAAGTTCCCTAACCTCGGTTCTCTGCATCTGTGACCTGCATCCCAGCTCTCGGACCTGGTTGGATAGTTCAGCTCTGTGCATGCTTTAGGCCTGCCTTTGAGTTCCCCCAGACCTGTGAGTTCCCCAGACCTGCGAGTTCCCCATCTCTAGATTCCATTGCCTGCTATGGTTACTTGGTGCTATGCATGTGCCCTAACTCTGAGTCCCTGTGAGCTCTTTCACACCTGTGAGCTCCCCAATCCCACTAGCCAGGGTATGTAGGTTCTACAGCTTTCTGAACCCTGTAAACTGTGATAACCCGGCTCCAGTGTTCTCATACCACTCATTCAGGCCTAGTTGGGATTGTACAGTCAGTACATTACCCAAGACAGACCCAGTCAAGAGTTATATTAGTATGCTTTCTTGGTTAACACCCAAATGGAATTTCTCCAGTTAATCCAATTAAAAATCAAAACAGACCTGTCTGCCAACCTGCTCCCCCAGCAGCCACCCAGCCCACTGTGCATCTCTAGGACCATGTGTAGTCTTTCCTGTAACTTCAGATGCAAAAGTTGTACTTATTCCTAACTGAACTAAGACCACTTCTTACCCCCATTCCTACATCAACACATGGTGGCCCCAAGACTGAACACCAATCACTACTCGGCTGGGCCCAAACCTGACAAGGTGGGGAAATAGCAAGGATCCAAACACCTATCTGTACCAAGAAAAACTGCTACCAGGCTGGGCATGGTGGCACACGCCTTTAATCCAGCACTTGGGAGGTAGAGGAAGGTAGATCTCTCTGAGTTCCAGGCCAGCCTGGTGTACACAGTGAGTTCCAGGACAGCTGGGACTACAGGGAGACCCTGTCTCCAAAAAAAGGGAAAAAAAGAAGAAGAAAAACCACTACCAGAAACGACTATGGTCTATGACATAAGTCCTGAGACAGGCGACCTAAGGGGACACACGAGACAATGATTTCAAAGTAGCAATTAAAACTATGTTCAAAGGCACTCAAAGAGGAATAAATAAAAAACCAAATCATGCTGTGACAACACGATACTTGAATGAAACAACTAAAGAATGCATTGGATCCTCAATCAAAGAAAATGTGAAATCTAAAATAATCCAGGAATAGAATATGCAGGACCCCGGGACACTACAAAAAGACCAAACCTACGAATTATAGGTATAGAAGAAGAAACCTAGGTCAAAGGCAGAGACACTATTTTACTAAAAAATTTATAGAAGAAAACTTCCCAAATCTATGAAAGAGATACCTATCATTGGATAAGAGGCATACAAAACACCAAGCAGACAGGACCAGAAAAGAAACTCCCCACATCAAATGATAGTCAAAACACTAAATGTACAAGACAATGAGAAGATAGTGAAAGCTGTAAGAGAGAAAGGTCAAGTCACATACAAAGGCAGTGAGGTGGTTTGAATGAGAATGTCCCCCATAGGCTCCAAGTGTTCGGATATTTTGTCCCCAGTTGGTGGCGCTGTTTGAGAGGCTTCAGGAGGTGTGGCCATGCTGAAGCATGTCACTGGGGGGCAGGGCTTACAGAGTTCTTAAGCCTTGTGGGGATTTATGTCCAGGAAGCAGCTCTTTTGTCTGAAGAGAAGAATAAACACTCTCAGGAGGGCAGAAAGAAGAAACAATTCCAGAATCGTTAACCAAAAGAAGTCTAAGAAAACAACACTACAACACCAACACGACAGAAATGAATATACACTGGTCAATAATAACTCTTAATATTAATGGTCAAAGTTCCCCAATAAGAAGGAAGATATAGTCTAAGCTTTTGGATTAGAAAACAGGATCCATTGATTTGCTGCCTCCAAGAGGCACACTTAATCATCAACGATCAATTAAGGTAAAAGGATGAAAAAAGGTATTGCAATCAAACGGAACACAAAATAAACAGGTATAGTTATTCTAATATCTGACAAAATAGACTTACTAAAAGTAATTAGAAGAGACAGGGAAGGTCACTTCATATGCATTAAAGGGGAAAAAACCACGAAGAGGATGTTATGACCCTAAACATATATATATATATATATATATATATGCACCAAACAGGGGGGACACCCCATTTCATTAAAAAATTCTATTAGATCTAAAACACACACATTGACTCTAATACAGTATAGTGGGCAACCTCACTTCCCCTACTGTTACCAATAGGTCAGCCAGACAAAACCTGAATAGAGAATATCTGGAGTTAAATGACACCATAATGGACACAGACAAAACAGATATTCCACACACACCACTTCTCAGCATCCCATGGAACTTTCTCCAAAATCAATCACATATTAGGACATGAAGCAAGTCTCCACAAATTTAGGAGAAATGAAATAACATTCTGTATTTTATCTGACCACAAAGGAATAAAGCTAGATATCAACAATAATAGAAATGGGAAAAAGCAAACAAACTCATAGAAACTAAGCAACACACTCCTGAATGAAAACTGGCTCAAGGGAGAAACCAAGAAGGAAATTTAAAACTCCCTAGACTTGAATGACAACGAAAAGAATATACTAGAATCTGTGAGACAGAATGAAGGCACTCTTAAGAGTGCGTACATCAGAGAATTAGAGACGTCTCATATTAACTTAATGAAACACCTGAAGGTCTTTGACAACCAAAAATAAACAGTATCTAGAAAGAGCAGATAGGAATAAATAAATAAAATCAAGGCTGAAATGAATAAAATAGAAACAAAGAAAACAATATAAAGAATCAATGAAATGGAATTGGTTATTTGAAGAGATTAACAAGACTGGCAAACTTTTAGCCAAAATAAGTCAAAAGAAAAGACAGGCCCAAAATGAATAAACTCAGAGATGAAAAGGGAAACATTACAACAGGCCCTGAGGTAATTCAGGAAAACATAATGGCATTTTAAGACTCTCTATTCCACTAAACTGAAAAATCTAGGAGTCACAGATAAATTTCAAGATATGTACAGTCTACCACCCTTAAATCAAAACTACACAGATAATTTAAACATGCCCATAACAACCAATGAGTCAAATGCAGTAATTAAAAATCGCCCAGCTGGGGCTGGAGAGATGACTCAGTGGTGAGGAGGCTTCTTTTGCAGAGGACCTGGGTTTGGTTCCCAGCACCCACACAGAGGCTAACAACCATCCATACGTAACTCCAGTCCCAGGGCATCTGACTCCCTCTTCTGACCTCCGCATTGCACAACATGGGTACATTTTCATATATAGGCAATACACTCATACACATAAAATAAAAAAATAAAATATTTTAAAACTCTCTCAACTAACAAGAGCCCAGGATCAGATGGATATAGCACATAATTCTTCCAAATCTTCAGAGAACAAATACCAATACTCCTCAAGTTATTCCATAAAATAGGAAAGGATCCAGGAATACTCCCAAATTCTTTATATGAAGCCAATATTACTCTGATACCAAAACCAAACAATGACTCAACAAAAATGAACACTATAGGCCAATCTCTCTTATGAACATAGATGTAAAAAATCTCAATAAAATACAAACTGAATGCAAGAATACATCAAAATATTATCCACCATGATCAAGCTGTCAACCTCTATATCCTACTATAGAGATATTTACTCATCCATATTCATTGCTGTCCTTTTCATAACAGCCAAGATACGTGAACAACCTAAATGTCCATCATGAATAATGAAAAAGAATGGATACATAATGAATGGATAATGAAAAAAATGATACATTCACACAATGGAATATTATTCAGCTGTCAAAAATGAAATTATAAAACTCACAGGTAAATGGATGGAACTGGAAGCAATTATTCTGAGTGAGGTAAACCAGACTCAGAAGGGCAAATATAGCATGTTTTTCCTTTTAGCAGGATGCTAGCTTTGAATTCTCAGTTATACGTGTTTCAACTTGAAATACAGAAGAGACCAGGAAACAAATGTCCAGGTGGTGCGGGTGGAGTTCATAGGAGGGGAGATAGACTATAGTGATATAAAGGGAGAAAGGGAAATAATAGAGCAGGAAGGGTTAACTAGGGTGGGGAATGGCAGGACAGGCAGAGGAGGGACTATGGGAGGGATAACTAACACTAAAGGACTTTAGAAAAAGCCACATGGAAACATCGCTATAGAAGCTTCTTAAAGTATTTAAGTACTTTAAGAATATATATGCTGGGCGTGGTGGTGCATGCCTTTAGTCCCAGCACTTGGGAGGCAGAGGCAGACAATCTCTGTGAGTTCAAGGCCAGCCTGGTCTACATAGGGAGTTCCAGGTCAGCTGGGGCTATAGGGAGACTCTGTTTCAAAAAGGCTATATATATATATATACATACATACACACACACACACACACACACACACACACACACACATATATATATATATACTATAAAAGACTTAAAGGCATTACATTATAATGGGGACATTGCCCCTACTAGACACCATAGGCTAGGAAAGTAAAAGCCCAATGCAAGAGATGAACTCCTTTTTTTGAAACTGTTGATCAGGGGTCCAATAGACTGTCAAACAGTACTAGCCTTGGCCCCTGCTCTTGGTTACGCACTAGCATTTGATGGTAAGACCATACTGCTGAAGACATTATCTATATACATAAGCTGTAGGAAAGGCAGGGAGAAATCAAGCTGGTGCTACCTTCAAAGCTTCACCTCTTCTGGCCAGCTTTCATAGTGCTGGAAGGTGCTCTGTATGCTACCCAAGAAAAAAAATCAATCATTAACCTTACCCAGCTGTGAATCCTGCACGCTTAAACAATTGGCCTGGCAAGATGTGCCCACCAGTGTGACAGTGGCAGGAATATTATGAGAGTAATCAATTGCTTTCTAATTGGATTGGAAGTCCATATGACATTGATTATCATAGGAACAGGTGGCTAGCTATAGGATCTATTATCCTGCTAAATAGACATAGTATTACAGAGACTTAGTGACTTATTGTACCCATAGACTACCGCATCTCTCAACTCTCACAGAGAAGTTTCCTCATGCAGCAGACAGTGATTAACATAGAAACCCACAGCTGGACAATGTCAGAGAACAAGAGACTGCAGAGTGCTTATCCCTGAATTAGACACCTATACTAAACATCTGCCTCCAAAGGCTCAGGGATCATTGAGGAACATGTGGAGGAAAGATTGTAAGCATCAGAGGTGGTAGATGACCACAAGGAAACAGAGTTTTCCACACAGTTTTTCAAGTTACTCTGATGAACTCACAGGAATGGTGACAGTATGAGCAAGTCATGTAAGATCAAGCCAGAGAACAGCTCAGGGTGAGCTGGGTAAGAAACCCCACCTCCACATGAGGAACTATTGATGATGACGGCTGGGTGGGACTCTTGGTAGGTTGGCCAGGGTCCAATGGATGAATCTACCCTGAAGGATATTTTGGGACAAAAATTTGACTCCATAGGCCTTAATATATATGCAATAGAGTACCTGAAGCTGGGTGGGGAGCACTAAGGGGTGGGTAGTAGTAAGGGGTGGGTAGAATAATAGTATTAGTCTCTCCCCTATAGCCTTTAATGCAATCAAAATGTAGTGTATGGAATTCACAAAAATTTAATAAATGGCAGAAATAAATTGATAAATTTTAAAAATTAACAAAACAAACCCAACAAACAAACAAACAACCTAATTAAAAATTGGGGAAAGGAACTAATGGGTAACAAAACATGAATGCCTGAGAAATATCTTTTATAAATGTTCAACATCTTTAGCCATCAGGGAAATGCAAATTAAAACTACTTTGAAATTTTATCTTATTCCAGTCAGAATGGGTAAGATTCAAAAAACAAACAAGGATCGATGCCAGTGAGGTGTGGGGAAAAGGAAGTGTTATTGCTGGTGGGAGTGGGAACTGGTGTGGCCATTAGGAAAATCAGTATGAAGGCTCCTCAGAATGCTAAAAATAGATCTCCCACATGATCCAGCCAAACTACGCTTGCGTATGTACCCAGAGTTCTCTATATCCCATTAGAGACACCTGCTCATCTGTGTTCACTGCTGCCCTATTCACAACAGCCAGGAAATGGAAACAACCTAGATGTCCACCAACTGAGGAGCGGATGATTAAAGTATGGAACATTCATACAATGAAATATTATTCAGCTGTTAAGAAAAACAAAATTATAAGATTTTCTGGTAAATGGATGGAACTAGAAACAGTGATCCTTAGTAAGGCCACTGAGACCCAGACAGACAAACACCTCATCTCTCTCCTAAGTCGATGGATGGGAGCCAGCTTTGAATCTTTAGATAGGTATGTTTCAACTGGAAAACCCTTAGAGATCAGGAAACTAATAAGGGATCATGGGGTTGTGTCAAGGGAGGGGAGAGAGGGTGCAGTGATCTAGATGAAAAGGGAATAGGGGACAGGACTGGTTTAGTGGGGGGAGGGAGGGGAGGGCAGAGGAGGGAGTGAGGGGGCAATAGTAACAAACACTAAAGGCCCTTTAAAGATCCATATGGAAGTCCACTACAGAAGCTTCTTTAAAACTTTAATGAAACACTGGCTTGACCCTATAACCTTAAAAGGGAATAAGCATTACTTAGCATCCCTAGGAAAAGAAGTTTCACAACAGATGGAAAATTTATTTGTTAATGCTATTATGTCTCATAATTATTTTTTTTTAAAAAGAAAATGAGCATGTAAAAGATGTTAAAAGGATATGGGAATGGAGATATTTTCCAAAATAGAAAAAATGAGAAAGCCTAAGGAAGAGATGAAGGTCTGTGTAGGTTTGTTATATGTAAAGGATGAGACAAAAATAATATACGCATAATCTTAAATTTCTATGGTCATAGTTTGGTCAACTAGTTTAAGGAACAAAATATAAATCTAGTCAAGGTTTATCTGAGAATATTTGGTTTTTTACTCAAGCTTTATCTCATAGCACATGATAATTAAAAGTACCAGACTGGTGGAATTAACCTTCTTTGGATGTTTAACAGCCATAGTTTGAGGCCTATACTAATGTGGTCAGAGGGACTTAAAGGACAGTTTTTGTCTCTTGCCCTCCAAGGTTGACTAAGTTCCAGGGGACTATGGAACATCTTTCAAAATATCCTGTAACTGTGGTGAGTCACCTGTCCTCTTGTTCAGGGAGGCCATGGAGACCCCCACGAGATGGACTTGAACCAGTGTCCAGTCTACAAAGAGGAGGGTCAACTCAGAGGAAACATCTCATTCATGCTTCCAAGTA